GGGTGAAAAATGATGTTTCGAGCGTCCAAGGTAAGGGGAATGCCTTATGAGAATCACATTGTTTTGCCCAAGAATGACTCGCAAAAAGAGCAAAATTCCACGAGTTTCGTTTTTGTGACAAATTATTTAGGTCACGACTCCCAAACTAAAGAAGACCATCTTCTTTTCCTTAAGCTGTGAAAAGAGAAAGCATGAATATTGCCGTCAAAAACCTTACCAGATAGCGTAGGACGGATCTGACGTCACACATCTTAATGCTGTTCCAACGAACATAAACGCACAAGAAATAAGAACACTCCGTCTTAGTCCTGTCAATCAAAAGGAACAATGGCTGTTGACATCAATCAGATAACGCTTTGCGCTGGATAAATCTTTATCCGGTAGATAGTGCAGTAAGTTTTGTTAACACGTATCTGCTGGATAGCGTTAACTGCTCATTGAGCACCCAGATGTTAAGATGATTAGGTACATTCCCAAAGACTCCAAATTTTTCTCAAGTTTGACAAAGACGCGAGCTTAGTCGAACCGTTTAACAAGTGTTTCGGTTAAAGGACCCAACAAAAAATCCCTAATAGTAAGTAAAAACTTCCAAAAGTAAGAATCATTAAGTTAAATCATATTATGATATTCACAATTGGCAATACATGTATACTATCGACTCTCCTGTTTTCCTATCACATTGGCTCAGCCAAACCTCTCAGTTGAAGCAATATTTTCAAGAGTAAGAAACCAAGGGCAGGCGGAAAGGGAGGGATCCAGGTGTGCAGGTGACCCTCCCCACTCTGAAATCAATATGAAATCGCTTTGGCTTGCCCCTCATAACATTCATAGGTTACAAAGAGTACAATAACATCTATCTGCCCTTGCTTCCAACATGTGCATTTAGAAGCTGCCAGGCACAAGTTCAAACCCCGTTTAATCAATGAATTTACTATAATAATTTTGTTTGCAGTTCGCATACGAGGATCATCCTTTGAGATGCCACGCTAGGCCATCTTTCCAAAATAAGCGCTGCGTGACAACTTTAACCCTTTAAATTCCAGATACGATTGGCGTTTTATTTCTCCCTAAAACATCCAAACCCTATATCATCGTTGAAGAATTACCTTTCTCATCCATCAACCAGGAGAAAAAAAACATTGAACATAAATAAGTGATAGGATCCATGCTAGCCAAGAAGGCAATTTCTGTGTTCGTCCAATTGAAAACCATTTTAGCGGTAGTAGCGATTGGCCCATACGTGTTCCACGCGCAGTACTGGCTAAAACTTATCACAGAGAATAACAGCAGGATATAAAAACGTCTTTTGTAGCTTTTAATCTCCACTGGGGGATCATCTGTAAGGTAAGATCCTTTATCGTCCGTAAGGAGCACTGTATCGGATGAAAGGGAGTCTTCAGCACGTTCAGGTGAGTATCGCTGAAGATCTGCAGAGAGTAAAAGAGAGAGAGAGAATTAAAAGTATTCATATGCATCTGATTCGGTTGACGCGAACCTTTGCGGTACGTGAGGAAAGTAGACCCTTTCCAATTCTCCATACTTTCTGCCATATAATTGTTTTGATGTCACTTCAGAGAATTTAGTATTGGATCAACTAATAATCTCCTCATAAACATTTTTCGTTATTTTTATCATTTGTCAACTTGATATTGTATTGATATAGTGAGGAGAAATTCTGCCCTGGTCACTCATTGAAGTTTTAGGGTTAGGCCCACCAACAAAAACATTGTAGCTCAATTGAAGTAAACACTCAAGAGAGACATTTTTCTTCGTCCAACACTCGCTTGTGACCTATTTTAAGTCTACATTTTATCGTCAGATTTTCTAACGTTAGTCAAATCAGCCAATTTTTTAAAGGTCATTTATATTTTCTGCACATTTTATATTTCAAGGTGGCGCCGTAAGTTTGTTTGAGAGAGCAGTTCAAAGCCTTTGATTGTACTTTAGTAATAATTGGAGGGCTGGAGTATATTTTTGCACCAAAACAACGGTGAATTATGACGCATGTTTTATTCACAAAATTCTTAGAGTTGACTTAGGCGTAGAATTTGTCAACTCTGGCGGGCAGAGTGCTTTGAGAGCCGTTTCCCTTGACCAACTAATTCAGCCAGATTGATTATAAAACTGAAAACCAAAACTCCATGACGAATTTTTTGATTACAAGGCACTGCAACAAATTACTTCATTTAAACAGGAGCTGTAAATAATTAACAGTTTTAACTTTCTCGAAGTGGTGACTGCGCCTGCAATTTTCAGGAGAGATTGGGTAGTTTAGCAACAGGGTTTTTGCAACAACGAACGTGATTCCTTGACGAAAACCAGACTATTTTCCTTGAAAAATGTCTTCTCACTCTTTGCTACCCAATCAGAATGGCAGGGGTTTTTACAAAGAAACAGCGATCGAACATTAAACCTCCCTCGAAAGTCTTTCAGTTTTTTCTTCCTCGCGATTTGTCACGCAAAGTTTCGTGACAACCGAAAAAAACTTCTGACTAATATTTTTGTTTCTTTCTTGTTTTAATTTTAATTTTCCACCACGCGTACCTTGAACGTGAGTACACTTCTTGGGTTTATAATCTTCCCTTCTCACCCAGGGATCGTCAAGATCGACTTCCACTAATTCATTCTCTTCTGGATCTAGAAATGACTTGCGGTCCTCAGATTTTGAGCCGTTTGGGTACATCTTGGAACCCCTGTCTGATACCAGCACGGAGCCTGTGAGAGAGATAACAATAAAAGTAAAAATGAAAAATCACCGTTCGGAGGCGCATTGTAAATTTTGTGAGTGACAATTGTATCAAAGTAGTTGAAAAGCTAAAAGGAACATTTCCAGAAATCATCAGTAGGCCAGAAAGTCCACTCTTGAAGCTTAAGTTAAGATGCTTTAAATGCTTTATTACGGGTACCTGTGAAAAATAAATCACCAAAATAAAACTCCATAAACAAAACTGCCGGGTCTTACATGACCCTACAAGGCCTTTTATCAGGCATTTACATGCACAACATATCATCGAAAAAAACTTCAAAAACCGACCTTTCGATTATGACGCGAAACTATGAAAACACCCCATGATTTGTTTGCCACACAAGCGATAAGATATTTCGTTGGTGTGTTAAGATGCAATTAGTTGCAACAAGCGCTTCCAAGGTAATTGAACTTAATTTTGCATGCACGCAATGCTCAAACAAAAAATTTATATATATTTATTATATAAAACGATGTTCTTAAGAACAAGGATCATGTGGTGAAGTTTCTGGATCATTCCATGTCTTTCACGGTGAGTTAAATATAAACTGAACAGATGAATAAATTGGACTGATAAAAAATAAACCTTACCAATGAATATTTTTGACTGATATCAAAACTAGATGAAAACAACTCGGATATTTGCTCAAAGTACTTAAACCAAAAAAGCTCATGAAAGTTTTTCGATCTTTAAAGGAAGCTTACTCGAGCAAATCGACGTACAAAGTTCACTATTTGAAATGCTAAAATTAATCCATTACACTCTATTCTTGTTCAGAAACATGTATGCTATTATATAATACTTATTACGGCTGTTTTCCCACCGAAGCAAATCTGTATGGAATTATATTCTTACCCCTATAGGCAGAAAACCTTCCCTTACAAGCATACTAAAGTTTTTAGGTCAAAAATTTGTTTCAATTCGGTGAAAAGAGTACGAAACCGGCATTTTAAAATTTTCTATTTAAAATTACGCAGGCAAAATCGTCGACACGAAAATTGCAAATCTAATGTTTTTCACACAGCTAAACTTAATCTGAGGGTTTCTTAAGAAAGGAAAAGTTATAATTTCAAATCCAGAATATTTACCCGATGAGAGATTCCGGTTCTTTCACAAAGTACGCCTTCGGGAGATTACAGGAAATCCATTGTCAAAAGCAAATCTATTTCTTAGCTTGTCTTTGCCACAACGCTCCAACGCCTCGTATCATCAGTCCTACAAAACTTTGCCCTGTTAATCCGATTCAAAAATCCTTTGCATTTATTCCACGACATAATCGTTTGTCCTGACAGTATTCGGCAGATTGTTGTTGCGGAACAAAGGTTTAGGTTATTTTTTACCCCGAAGTAGATATTGTTCTAAATTTGCATGGAAAGGGCGAAACAAGTTGTGAAAACAGAAGATGATTGACAGCAATAGTAAGGGGAAAGTTTTGATTGGTCATTTCAACAAAGAGCGGGCTTTCCACGTGTGACCTGCGTGATGACGCAACCGTTATTTTTGTCACGCATACAATCATTAAAAACGTTCCTAAAAGCGAACAATCATCTCACAACTTATATACGGGAATCGTTATGGAGAATCCACCAAAAATCCCACGAAGTGAGTTCCAACGTGATTCTAGAAATGCTAGTTTCTCATTAAATCGATAATCGACAGATTTCCTTAGGCCTCGGCCTTACAGAGATCAATATCCAAGGACTGTCAAGAATGGCATTAATAAGAATTAAGATTTTGAACTGTGTTAATTCTTGATCTAACTGAGACGAATTAATGACACTTGCCAGTTTTTAAGAGGAAAGGAGCCTCAGTATTTTGAATTTAATCTCAGTTAAGAATTATTTTTGTCTAAATGGTACTCAAGATTAAGAGTGTTTCATGGTAACGGCCGCTTAATCATTTTCAGGGGGCGGCGTCTGTCAGATGTTTTTGTCAGTGCTTTATAAATTAAGTGCGGAAAACATTCAGAACGAACTAGATTTGAATGAAAATCTGCATATCATTGATAAACCGCCTGTTGAGTTGAGTACGGACTACTGACTATGGAATCGGAGTGAGGGGTAAAGCATTATTTATCAAATACACGGGGAAAGTTATTACAAAGGCTCTCCGATTATCAAGAGAAGACGTAGTGAAATGTCCGCTTTTCCAAGGTCATACTAACCTAACACAAAAAGCCTCCGACAAAACGTTAAATTGAACGTAAACAAAGCTTTTAACCCCTCTAAGCTTGGTCAACCATAACACTTAATCATTGCACAGACATCTTTAAGCGTTTAAGGTCCACTTCGTGTAACTTTTTTCGTTACATTTGACGATGGGTTATGGTACACTATCTGCACTATGGTTGTTAGACATCTAATTTACCAAGTAAGCCGGAAAAGTTTGGAAATGTTTTTAAGTTCTTCACTGATATGCTGAACTGACCTTGGAATTAGGACTCTATTTTTTTAGTTAAATCTTGAATCAAATCAAATATTTCTAGCCTACGGCTAGTGGTTCGGTTGAGTTTTGGACTTTACCAAATTTGCGTAATGCCACTTCACAATCTGTGAGAGTGTTGAAACTGTTTTTATTTTAGAAAGAGAAGGAAACGTCAGAGAAATTTTCCAGTTTATGGCTGATTTTGTTTCGTAACGTAAGTGAGAAAAACTTGCGCATCTTCAAGGAGCGAAGAATCAAATCATGTGTCCTGCGTTCAGGTCCTTTGCTATTTGTTTGAAATGCTCAATAGTCGAACCAAAACACGAAAAACAACAGGAAAGTGCGCGACCTTTCAGTTTCATCTACTACTAATGCTACACTAAGTAGAAAATCTCTTTCAATTGACAGTTTTCACTTCCTCTCCCCGCTTCGTAATCTTTTTGTATTCACGTGCGGAGCGCGTGCTTTCACAAATTAGTTAATCACGTTAACCAAAGAAATCTAACCTTGACATTGGAGAACTGACGTGGACATTGTTCGTGTACTTTTAGTTCGTTTTCGCGGAGTTTTAGTTAAATGTTTTGGAAATTAGTTAGATTGCTTGGAAATTTACGATGTTTCGGAGTTTTTTTTTAATCCAAATCTTGTGGTTCATTTAACAAGTTTAATACATATTTTTACGGAGTTTGGACCCTAGTCTCTTTTTTCGGAAATGGATATTTTAAAATTTGAGGGAGAAACTCGTGCGTGTTCAAGGAGCGAAGAATCAATTCGTGTTGCTCGCGTTCAAGGCCTCTGCTCTTTGTTTGAAATACTCAACAGCCGAATCAAAACACGAAAAAATGCGCAAGAAAATGAGCCACCTTTCAGTTTCATCAATTACTGACGCAAGCATTCAGCAATCTCAAGATATCGTTTTGAACATTTACTTCACTGGTGTATTGAAAACCATCTAAAAATCAGTGTTGCATACAAGATTACATATTTCTGTCACAAAACTCACCCCAAGGCTACTTCGATGAAAAAATAAGTGGGACATACAAACCTTTCTTTACAGTAGACACCATCGGTGACAAATCGCATTTGACTTCATTCGCCTCATTTAACGGAGCAACGCTTGAGCGCATTTTGTAAAAAAAACGACGAAATTGTCCTTAAATTCTCGCAAAAAGAGAGTAGCTCTCATCCATCGAGTTTCATCGCGATACTCGCTTTCGAAGCCATTCAATCTATGGAAGACCCGACAATAAATATATGACTAATTCAGCTACTAATTTCTTAATTAGTATTCATGATTTTCATTACGTCATAATTATTTATATGGCATCATTAAGGGATGTTGACATGGAGGTGGGGACCCCAGGTAGGTGAGGTAACCCGCCTAGGTGGGGTAACCCGCTTGTTCATAGAATTTCTTATTTTATCTTGATCACGTTTACATGATAGGTGGGGTGACCCGCCTAGGCGGGTTGCCCGGTCTGCCAGGTTGAGTAATCCTGTCAGCCGGGGTGACAATTTGCCATGTAAACGTCCCAAGGTGGGGTGACCCGTCTAGCCGGGGACGCTTTCATGGCAAAAAAACCCGAAAGTGAAACACGTATGCTTTAAAACTTTGTACATTTCTTAGCCGTCTCACGCCAGAAATCACCAGAAACCGCAACGGACACACAGAGTGTAAAATGTTCACATTTCGAAATATTTAGCGTTGTAAATCGACCATATTTCAAACTATTCCTTATAACGTACCAAGTTAACGGTTCCTCGCGTAACCTAACACCGCGTAACACAACGCGTGACACTTTCATGAATAAATACATACGTATCCGGGAATTAATCTTTCGTCTTTCTCGAGACTTGAGCATGGGATGCCTTTGCTCAAACTCCCTAATTGGAAGTGCAACAACAGCCTCAGCACAACGGGGTTGTAAGATTGTATGTAGACGCGTTTTGTTTTTCGACCACGGCTAGGCGGGTTACCTCACCTACCTGTGGTCCCCCACCTCCGTGTAAAAAGGCCCTAAAAAAACGGCCATTGTGTTTAATTTTCGAAAGGCGCCGCGAGGGAATTGTGCACACAACAGGAGATACAGTTTTGTAGGAGGAAATTCTCCTAAGTCTACAAGTAAGACATTTCAAGATATCAAAGCCTATTTATTATGTAAATTTTATACATTTTTTAATTGAGAAAAATAAATCTCTTACGAGATAAGTTGGCCTAGTTTATGCGCTTAAAACACTGTGCTAATATTCAAAATAATTCGAGAGATCTTTGAAGACCTTTCCTCTTCAACAGCGATTTTTTCATTTTAATCGACAGAGATGAAAAGAAAAAAAAATGGCGAGACTTCCACCTTAGCCCAGCTTGCGCACGGCCATTTTTATTTCGTCTTTATCTGGAACTCATTTCACACAGAGTACGTGCTATCATTCGGGATCAAACCTGGCTTATGCTCTTTCCCACATATCAGATCATATAGAGAATATTGAATTTTATGATTATGTCAAGGACTTCCGTTTCAGTTTAAACTATTTTTAGTCGCTTTGAAAGGCCGCGGTGAGAACAAAAAAGTTCTCGCTCTTAAAACTCTGAATGTCAAAGATTCGAGAACGTTGGATATTGGTATTGTTTTTTTTTATTTAACCTTCACCTTCACTTGCCTGCCACGTGCCAAGGTGTGGAATTCTAACTGTATAGACAGGTGATAATTTTCCACTTAATATGTTATCAGCCTCAGTTAAATTTACGGAGACTCCTCGCAACGATTTTGAGACATTCTTTTTGATAGTCACCAAATATTGACTGTTCCATGCAGTCAGTGTATAGGAAATCAGTAAGAACTGGAATTTATTTAAAATATAACTTTATGCCCGATTCATTCTTTTCAGTCATCTCGTAACTGTTAAGGAAAAATCGAGATGTTTTGCGAATCTTGACGTTATCTGTGCACCAAAAAAGTCGCGCTGTGTCACAACATTTAATGCTGCAAGTAAGATCTGACAGTGGAGAAAATTATCATAGATAAGTAGAAACAACCAGTTCGAGCAGTCAGTCACAATTTGTTTGAGAATAAGAACAAAATCAGATTATCTCGCTTGAAATGATGCGAATTTATTGCAGTATTTTCAAGTTGGTTTTTAGGTCTATGAAATATTAATCCTTGAATTTCAACTAGACTTTATTCACCGATTTCGGAAAGTTGTGACGTGCTCAGACGCAAAATGAAAATTTTCAGAAAAACGTTTGGCTGAGGAAAGAAAAACACTTTGACCCATGCACAATCAGCCTGTCACGATTACTTGCGTCAGAGGACTTAGTTTTAAAAAACTTGCCCGGGATCGTGATGTCATTCGAATGACTGTCAATGCCGAGGTCACAGAAGGAAGGCGTCACGGACCAATCAAACACAATCACGTTTTTGATGGACACTGAGGTCAGTTGTAAAGATTGAGTAACAACCGCTAAGGGCTGCGGCATGATATTAAACTAACATGAATCGTACTAATGTTTTTAACAGGATATGCCAAAGAGGAAACGCTACCCATATAGCTTGTGAACTTTGATCTAAAATCACTTAGGAATTTGCAGAACAGAATTCACAAGTTTTAATTGAGCAAAGGCGAAGAGTCTGTTTGACCCACTGGAATAGCCCCCTGTTAAAATAAAGGAGCACCTCCCGCGATTTTTCACGTGCACAATATTTCATATTGAATGGAAGGAACAGAATATTGCTTTCTTTTAACACCAAATCCTAGGTATTTTCTTCTACTTTCAATTGGATTCTAGACCTTGTACCACACATAACGGATGTCAAAAAATCAGAGAAAGCGGAAAATCAGAAATTCCGATCTCAAACAAAGACAAATTGTAAAGAACATAAACTTGCGCTCTGTAACATAACAACCACGTGACTTTAAGTAAGGAAACACTCGCTGACGGTATAGTTTCACGTGGAATTTTTAACCAAAGAACGAGACGGTTTATTTTGACAATTATTTTCAATAAAATTCCTTTTTAACAGGTTCACGGTTTTAAAGGGCATCGATCAAATAGTTTGAGAACAAAGAATTGATAACAGAAAGATAATGTGACTGGAAACGTGAAGAGTATAACAATTCAACGTCATTCCTGGTCACTGCCAAATTGTCTTTGCTGCTTTTCCAAGTGAAAAGAACGTGGAACGAAGTGGGATGTTGTCGAAAGATTATCCGTAATGTTACCGCTGCCTAAGAATTCTCTGGTATGTTTTTTCGTCTGAGTAAGGCAATAAGAAAAAGAAAAATTTCCAGCGTTATCGAAGCCAATTTCATATCTCCACACCTGACAGGTCAATCAAAAGCCTTTTCAAAAGAAATGACAGCCATTTCGTGCTTTAAAAACACCGACCTCAAATTTTTTCAAGAAACAAGAATCACTGGGGTTTTCCTTTTTAATGTTGACGCGATCTTTGACCGCATAAGAATAGAATTTTGCGTTTGATGTGAAGTTTAACTCACATTTTGCGCACGCAACATCTGTTTCGAGTACGTCGCGCCCGGTCAGTCTAAAGTTATTGTAGGAAACAATGTCACATCTCTTACGCCGCGAGTGGTTTTACCTTATGTCTTTCACACATGACAAATACATTAACGATTTTTCTCCCAGCCGTTAAATTAAAGAAGGCGTTCTGAGGTGGCTCTGGAAAAGCGAAATATGGAATCCAGTGTTAGATAAAAACAAAAACGAGAAAAAAAAAACACGAAAAGGGTTTACAGAGAATCCAGAATGGAAATCAAGTGTTGAACCTCAGGGAAACGCTGTGAACAAAGAAAACCCGCGAAGATGTTTCTAACGACGTTAAGAAAGTGTGGGTGTTTAGGGAAGGAAGGGTATGTGACCTTTAATAATATTATTCTCTCTTACAATACAAATAATCCGCAGGGTATAGATTAGAGCTATCAACAAATCTTCTCGAGCCTCAACTCGCGTGACGTTGTGAATGCTGACAGGTTTTGTCTGTTTCTTTTTATCTTATAAAAACAAAGATTTTTTTTCTAATTCGTCCATCGATTTCTCCGACTCGTAACAAAGGCTCTCTAATTCTGAAGAAAAGTTAGCCATAAAAATAGCGAATTTAATACCAAATAGGTTTTCACAAACACCTGTAATCTTACAAATCGCTGCACAGCAATGATTGTGCAATTTAGAAGACCATTAATAAGCTAAAATACTCACGCTTAAGACTAAAGTATTTTCAACTTTTATCGGGTATGTTTTCAATGTAAACACAGACTGTCAAGAGCTTTCTTAACAGTAGAGCGCGGTATAAACACTATTCCTGAATCCGTGATCTAACATTTCCCGTTTCCCTCGACATTTTCCGCTCCCTGGGGAACACAGTAGGACATTAATAGGGTTTTACCGATTAATGACAAAGGTTTCGAGGTTGATGCCTTTACGTCGCTTTTTGAGGTTGCGTGGAAAGGTTAAATAATTTAAGATAATGCCCTTCGAGTCTGGACGGTGTGCCTTTAATGGATACAACAAAAAAACTTATTCCTGACGAACAACGATTAAACGAATATCTTTAATTCACGGCTATGACCATATCCTTGGCAATATTTTGCACTCCAGTTGTTGTGCCCATGGTGAACATACAGTGAATAATTTTCAGTCATATCTTTCCCATGTAACATAAACAAAGCCTCGACCCAAAGTAAAGTTTTCTTTTAACCAGAGAGGGAGTAAAAGCTGTTTATTTTCGAGCCATATACGAGATAACTTCAGTACAATCCAAGTATAACAATAAAAACTCGTCCCGTAAGATCTGGGCAAACACAAATTATGTGCAATCATCATGCAACAAACATTTTTACATCGCTTTGGTAATAACCTTGTGGCACAATACCCAAAAAGATTTTATAAAATCCGTTCTACGGTTGGACTAAAAAAATACACCAGCTTGAATAATCCAAAGTCATTTGAGAACTTTCTACATCGTTTTATCACATCATGAGCTTTTAAATTGTACTCAGCATTGCGTGTAGTCAGGAGTGTATATGCCATCCACGTATTGTTTTTATTCGTCGAGCATAATATTTATTCTCTACAAGAAATGAAAAATTAGTTGAGGTGACTCACCGTTTAGGTTTCTCTCTGCTCTCAATCCAGTGAAAAGCCATTGTTTTTTCCTCCGACGGAGAGATTGCCCAGAGAGTCGTTTTAACTTCGCTTCTTTTGATCTTATTTCAGGAGCCATTTCCTGGGATCGAAAATGCTTTCAAGTTTACTCAGACCGGCTTCTGTGATTATTTAAAAGAAAAAGATAAACTGTAATAGAATCTTGGCGGAATAAGACCATCAACTTATGGAAATTGACAAAAAAATAATTTTGATTGTGTCATTCCGTCAATTCTTTTTTACCAACCGTGTTTTAAGAAATTGGCTCTCGACCTTTACCTTCGCGGAATCCATAACAAAACCCAATTTTTCAGTGTTTACCATATTTCATCACGTTACAGTAATTTCCACTGTTTTTATTCGCCCGTATTTATTCAGGCTCATTGAACGAATGGAATATTTTTCCGGCAATCTTTAGTTTGGGAAATCGAGTTTATTGACGTAATTGGATGACTCAAATCGATCTCGACTTCTGTTTATGGATGGAAACCTCTACTTCCGACAACTTGCAAGCTCACATCACTTCGCGCACGTAGGGAGTTCGTTGAGCTAAATATAGATAGGCTGGGGTATCCCTTGAGCGGAATTTTTTTCAATACCTCCATTCATGAACACAAACGAAAATTGGTCAAAATTTCCCTTCAGGCGCGAGCGAAGCGTATTGCACAGACGGTATTCGTGAAGATAAAAATATTGCCGCATCTAAACGTTGTAAGCACTGATCAAAAGTCTCTTGATTCGTTGTGGATTCAAACACATGTTCTGCTCTTCAATTAACCCAGAGGGAATTTAATTTAAAATTGTATCTAACAAAGAGAAATCTGCGATGGTTACTGGAGCGCTTACCTGAGAATTTCCATGCAGAGGGAAACTCGGTAAAATTAAGCTGAAAAAGATTTCTGTGCGAAGATCATGCAGCTGATTCTCGCAATCCGACCAGGCCTGCACAACACTGACAAGCTTTGAGGGTCGCACACCACAAAGTAAATTGATATCAATTTCCAGTTGCCCAATATCCGAGCTGGCCGGACGCGCGCTATGGGGTTAACGCACTTTCAAACGACCAACCCTGGCGTTGCAAGATCGATGCTAACAAAACAGCTGATCGAAAATATTACAACAAGCCTGCAAGTGTCGTGAAGTGTAGCATTGGCTGCACGGATATTCATGGGTTGAATCAATAATTTATTCCAAGTCAAGGTTGTAACCAAAATTTGCATCTGCTATACAATGATATCGCTTTTTGGGAATGACGCAACAGTTCTCTAGGAATCGAACGATTTTGAGCTTGACTAATCAAAGATTTCATTTTTTCAACTTTGGCGATTTGTTTTGAGCTTTAGTACTATTTTGAAAACGCAAATCAACAACAGATGCGCCTGATTGCTTTTATTCCTTGTTAGAGGTAAGTGAAAAGGTTTTTGTCACGCGTCACACCATCTTGTTAGGTAAATTTGGCCCAGAACAACTCCTCGTACGAGGAGGACTGGACCAATTCTAGAAAAAATTTCAAAATGGCGGACGAAGACGAGGAAGATTATATGTCGGACAAATTTTTGCTAAGCACGACTGATAACAATCCAGGTTTAGTTCCAGACAAAGTAGCAAAGAAGTATAGGAGAGAGATGAAGCATAAGGAGTTGAATCAGCGAAACAAAATGAAACCGATGAGAGAAAGGGAGATGGAACATCGTGAACAGGGTCTAGCAAATGCTTTAGACAGCAGTAATAAAGGATTCGCTATGCTACAGAAAATGGGATTCAAAAAAGGAATGGGCTTGGGAAAAGAAGGTACGTTAAAGAGTTTCCTGCAGGAATATTGCACCCATGTGAAAGGCATACAGTTTTCGGGATACAAAGTCTGCAGCGAAAGTTAAGGTATAACTGAATGGTATCTCAGGAGATTTTATATCTTTAGGTATTTTTTAAGTATTCAGTACATAATTGTACCTGTAACTACGAGATATTTTAAGGGCTGGATATGTAGCAAGCAGTTAAAATTTCATTTAAGACTTAAGATGTGCTTTCTTATTACTGTTTATTTTTATTTTTGTGGAACTGTATGTACCAGTTTATTATATATATATTTATATATTGTATGTACCAGTCTTTTGAAACCAACTTTTGATAAGAAACCAGATGCAAAAAATTTGATTTTTCTATGAAAAATGTACTATTCTCATTTACGATTGACCACACTCATTGGAAGCCTCTAAATAAAAAAAATGGAGTTTACTTTTGATCGCAGAATATTTAATTTCATGCAAGTGCACGTTCATTACTTAGTATACATAAACACGTGGAGTGGACTCCTTACACCTTGAACTGACTTGAATCTTCAAGGGAATAAGGTCGATCATCAAGAGTTTGAGTTTTTAGAATCTTAGATCAAATAAATGGAAATAAAGAGAAAAGCACTGTTCACCCAATTTCTAATTGTGCTGGCAAATGTAAACAAATTTAGTTACAGTGGAGAGGAATCAAGAAAAATAGAACAGTTTAAAGGAAGAAAGGAAGTGTTGGCAAAGCTTTTTGGTGATAAAATGTAATGTAAACTAGCAATACATGAACAGATCTGAGACAATTTGCTCTCTGCAAAGAATAAAAAATAAAGAAGAAAAGAAGAAAAGAGAAAAGGTAAAGTTGGAAAAATTGGAAGTTTCTTCAAAGTAAATTCCAATTTTGAATCAAAGCACTTTTTTTACTTGCTTGAAGTCGGGAGGCTGTAAGTTACGCAAGTCAACTTTTATGATGTTGAATTAAATATTCATGTTTGTAATCAATCATGCGTAAATGATATCGCATGTCTAGGTTTTATGCAAATCTAAAATGTGTATTTGATATTTGCTTTGTTTATGAGCATCTTAAGATTCCGGACACATCTCTACTGCTAAATCTTGTGTACTGATAGACTTAAGTTGCAAGTTGTGGACATGTCTTCCGTGTTACGATCATGACTCTGTCTATAAAATGTAGTTCTTCATTCAAAAATATATAAATTCAGACTTATTAGCACCCTTAGTGTTTAAAGTTGTTATGAATACGCAGTTTTAAAACAATCTGATGAAACTGTCATCCACTGAGTTTGCTTGATGTTTCAAATCTGCCAATTAGTTTAAATGTCATTACCTATTGTGGCTCTGAAATACAGCGACTTGTATTTTGTATTTTGCTATTCATTCCACTCTTGTAATCAACCAGAACTCGATTTGCTCTGATTGCAACCATCAAAATAATTTTCTAGTCACTCTGTGTTATCATTTTGTTTGAAGAGCTGAACAATGTTTTGGCTGTAGTTTACTGTGTACAAACATACCATGTAACTGGTGTAGTCTGATAGTTAAGCTTCTTATTGCCCACTTGATCATAAGAAATCAATGTAACGTGAAGAACCTGCAAGGTCAAGAATGTCTTAATTTAGTTTGATTAAGCTTGCTTTGGAGGTGTGATTAGGGAGGGATGTGGGAGGTGAAGCCCAAGGGAGACTGGGATAGTATTGTTAAGACTGATCAGTGGTGGATTAGCCTTAGTCCTTTCTCAGGGCTCTCTCTTGGGGGAGTCCTTGTATACATTAAAGATATTTTGATTCAAGTCTGGTATGATCTTGTCATGAAATTATATTTAATATGAACAAACTATCTTCTCTCAAGATGAACTGAGCAATTGCTTTCTGTTTCACAACAAGTAGCCATTAACATTATTATCATGACTTTTTCGGCAACAACACATTATCAAGATGAGTGTTCTTTCTCCCTTTTAAATTGTTTGTAAGTTTACATTAAGCAAAATGACTCAATGCTTTTTGACACAGTACACATACACTGTATGAAACTTGGTGGACTACTGCACTGAGAATTTGAATCAAGCAAAAAATTTGTTATAACTCAGTTATTACAATAAAATTAAGCAATGCAGTTACCATCATGATCACTGTACAAAATTCTCATTATTTCTTATCTTAGGGACTGGAAGAGCCGAACCTATACCATTGACTGTTAAAGCAGGTTTGAGTACTTTTATTTACTTCTTTGCCTTAGATTGAACCTGGATGGCATGGCTCCATGAGACATCGCAGTCGAATCCACACCAAAGAAATAAAAAATGATCGGTTATTCCATCTTTTATAGATCGTGGAGGCCTTGGGCGTGATATGCTCTTAAAAAGACAGAGAGAGGTGAAAGAGGCATTAAAACATGAAACTGCAAAGAAAAGAGTGAAGATTGAGGAGAAGCAGAGAGACAACTTCAGAAAACACATGAGTGGCAGGTTTGCCGAGAGGCAAACATCAAGTGATTTATATAAGAGCCAAAAAGCATGTGAACAGCTGGACAAATCAAAGGTGAGGAGCTGTAAGGATGTTAGAAGCTCACTTATAAATAAGTTTTTGTTTTCTTGTTTAATACTGGGCTAAAACATGGCCTCATCAGATACAGAGAGGCCTAACATATCAAAAGTGTTTTAAAGGAATATCTACAGTGTATAATTGCTCAATAATTGCTCTTACGAAGGGTTAATGCTTGAAATGTCAGCCTTTAATCTCTATGGTGGCCAATTTAAGTTTTCAACTCAGTTGTTAACAGTAAATTACCTGTTATACTCTCCCACTGACGCAGCACCACAGTTTCTCTAGAAACTTACCCCCTTTATTTTACAGCTTGCATAGTTTTGAAAATTAGTATTGTGTTATATTTATGATTTATCACTGAATGTTCACTTTTTTCTAATTATTTTGTGTTTTCTTTGATGCTATTTTTTATGAAGAAATTGAATAAGTGGATTTGAAAGGTTACTAAGCATAGGTGAATTATAATTTTTTGCTATCACTTCTCTAACTTGTAGGACTTACCTTGTGTCGAGAAGTGGTTTTGGCCACAGGAGGAAACAAAGGAAGATGATGAGAATAAGGAAGAAGATGAAGAAGAAAATGATGAGGAAGAGGAGGAAGAGTTGGAGGTTAGTTGTCCCTCAGGAGGAAAATATAGAAAGCTTTCTTTGGTGCATGCTTCCACATTCATTGTCAGTTTTAGTTATTGGTATACAATATTTTTGCAATGTCAATGTCAGTATGTCAAAGCCTTGGACATTTCAATATTGGAGATTGATATGATAAACTCTTTTTGATGGAATATGGTACTGTGAATAAATTATTTGCAGAGTTGTTGGAGTGAAGAATCATGGAAGGGCTTGCTCTTCAATCTAGTAAGATTTCTCGAAGAATTTTTTTTTCCTGAAACTTCACAATTTCAACCACATTTGCCAAAACTACCATGAGAATTTCTATAATAATCTACTCCTGACTCTGAGAAAAGTTCCTTAGTTCCTTTTATATCTGGCGAGTGTTGTTTGCATGTTAAAGAATTAAACCAGGTTATGTGGTTGTGAAGGTGGTTGTAACATAGGGTTTAGGTTGAAAAAGCTCATTTTGATACTCCAACAAACAGCAAGCAGTTATTAGGGCCATCATAGTGATTTGTTTTTCCGTGGGCATACAGTATGTTAGCAGCTTATATGTAGCCCAGTAATTTATGCCTGCATAGTTCCAACACTGTGATGTTTTCTTGCATGCTGGACAACAGCCATCAGAGAAGCTCATGCACCTAACGATGTACTTGAGAAGAACTCATCAATACTGTATTTGGTGTGGGACCAAGTA